AAATGATTGGTTCGTGAGACGGTGTTCGATGTAAATAGTTCGCTAACCAGTTTATGTTAGGTTGCACATGTGTAATATAACCCTTTTGTCGATAAACATAGCTCAAACTCACGTTTGAGCTTTGTAATAATGTTGTGTTTGTACTTTTATGTAATATATAAAGTTTGCGAATTTTAATAATTAAACGATAAACGAACCTTAGTGCGAGCTAGGTGGATGCCTTAAGTAGACTATTCACTTAGGTAAATCTGGGTGGTGCTAGTTCAGGTCGTCACAAAAACACAAATAAATAAAGGCTTGACTGGCCAAGAGCAGTTTTGTAAAGAAACGTAATTTTTGTTTTGGAGGCTTAACGTTGCTATTATCACTTGCAATATGTTAATTAGTTCGTAATATGGGGTGGGAAAAAAAGCAATAAGAAAAAATGCGAAAAAACACGTAGATTGGATTTCGGGATTATGATGTTTACCTAAACTTGAATTGCAAAGATAGAGAGAGCAATTTGCACACAAACCTGAAAATATTGTTTTTATGTCCCAAACATTACCATTTTAGGTCCTTTATTGTTTCTAAACGTAAATTATTTCCTTTTTCAAAAAAAAACACATAAATTATTTCTTATCTCTGCCAAAAACACACGATTTTACTAAAGAATCATTTGACAAGATCAGCATAAGATATTAAGCGCAATACAACACTTTTTTTTTTATAGAAAATGATACAATTTTTTTAGAGTAGTGATAGGTATAAGGAAAAAGTGACAAGGAAAAGTGACAAGTAACGATGTGTCAAAATCTTAATTATGCCCTAACATTAAATGCATAAACTCTGTTTGGAAAGTTTTAACAATGGATGGATGAGATCATTTCCTTGTAATTTTTTCTTGTTATTTTTTCTTTGTACTAATTATTACTCATTTTTTTAAGTATTTCCATATTTATAAAAAATAAAATAAAATCATGTTGCACTTATTTTCGAAATTGACGATAAAAATTAATACTAAAAGACCCTTATACCTTCGCTTATGAAAACGTTTTTAAGATATTTGACAAAATTGGGTACAAATTAGTGCTGATGAAAAAGAAAACAAAGCTTGGAGTTACTCTCTCCAGTCCTTATCATAAGGCATTTTGATTTCGTCCTAAGTTTAACTTAGAATGTCTTTTTAATTGGAAAAAAAATCTTAAAAATATATTTTCACATTCATTATGTTCTCCTAATTATTGTGAAACGTTTTTAAAGTTTTTATTTCAATTAAAAAGACATTTTAAGTGAAACCTAAAACGCAATCAAAATACCTTATAATAAGGATTGGAGGGAATAGTAATTTAAAGGGGAAAAAAAAAAGAGAAAGAAAAAGAAAACAAAGCCCGGCAGTGGAGTTACGTTAGGGGATAAAAAAAAGAAAGTCTGGCGTATGAGTTACTTCTGGAAAAAATGACTTTCCTACTTAGAGCTTTGCCCTCGGCGTCAATTTTACCTAATAGATTTTCAATTAATCATATTTATCTCAATGTTTTAAATTTTCACCAATTTTATCCAATCGTGCTATTTTCCGTCCAAGTTAACGTATATTCGTTAATTTATTAATAAAATAATCGATTTAATTACACAAACACTCTAATAATTTAAAAAAAAATAAAAATAACCCCTGAATTATATAAAAATAACAAATAGTCTATTTTTAATTTTTAATGTATTTTTCTCTATTGCATTCCATTTCTCTTTAATATTTTTGATGACCATAAAATTATATTATATGATCTTTAAAGAAATATTTATTTATTTTCATACTCTACCGTAAAAATTAATCTTTATATAGTTCTTTTGAATAAGTTTAGTACTACCCTGATATTTCATAATATGTTAATCTTGCTCTAAATAATTAACAATATTTTTGAATATCACCTCATTGAGCTAAATTAGTGTAATTATTTTTGAAAAAATTTGGATCAAGAACAGTGGAGAAGTTTAACAAATTAATAAAAGGAGTATAATTTTTAAATAATTTAAATTAAGGGTAATTATTTTCTTCTTCACAGATAACAATGATAAAATCAAAATAATATTGTTTTCTCAAAGTTGTCCCTCTATTATTTTTGCTTCTTCCGCCGGAAAACAAAACTCTCCTTCATTTTATTTCTTCACTGGAACAAAATTGTCCTCTGTTTTTTTAATTTTCTATTCCAATCTTGATTCACACATTCTAATCTTAATTCTATCATTTCAAACTCAATTTCTTTTACAAATTTCCCTATTCTCTCTTCCTTCGTAATTAGATAAATATATTACCGTGCGCACATACACACACACACATATATATATATATATAAATTCAAATCTTTTTTTTTATTTTATCAAATCGTGATTTAGTATATGAAATTCTTCCCAGATGCGGTATTGGTAAACTAAATTCCTTTTACAAACGGATGGAGAACTCGGACAGATACAAGCATGAACTATGAATAGTTAAAATGTATTCTTTCAAATTAATTATTTGCCAACCTATTTCTAAAGGTTTGCCATTGAAAGGAAAAGAGACAGGTATAAGTCTTTGAGGAAAAGGTACAGTTAGTTGAGGAAGAAATCGGCAGAACAAGGTAAAGAAGATACATAATATTGGTTTTGTCTTTCTAGTTATGATGGAATTATAATTTAGAACCCGATGCACAAATGGCGCGATTTTAGTTGTTTATGAATGTCAACAAATGTATATAAGAATTTTGAATAACAATAAAAAAAAAAAAGAAATTGAAGAAGTAAATATTGCTTGCAACTCAGGTACAAATTATGTGCATTTTGATTGCTACCAGTGTGCAATTCATGTGAAAAATTTAACAAACAGAATCTTTTTGCATCTTTTCCGTACAATTTTTTCATGTGAATATATCATTACTCTTATTTGCTCAATACGTTTGTTGCATATCTAACACTATTACATTAATTATTGAATGAAGGAAACAATTATGTGATTTTGAATTTTGTGGATGATGAAGCTGGGAAATAAGCTTTGAAAACTATTGTTGCTGAGAATTCAATTATAGATTTTGATGGTCTCGCCGTCTAAGTTACCTGCAGCAAACTAATTTGAGAGAAATGTATAAACTCACTATATTTTTTTTTCTTAATAGGCTCAAATCCAATACGAAGTCTTGTATATACACTTGAAAAGACGGGAAAAAAACGATAATCATTATTATATATATTAAAGGAAAGAAAGATAATCGACACGTGTCGTTGATTGAAATCATCAAACCTCCTTTTCAACTTATTATTATTTTAGCCCTTAAAGTTTTATTTATGTGTTATTTAGTCTTCAAGTTTATCGATTTTATATTTTCAAGGACGATTAATTGTGTCTAATCCCCAAAGTCCCCTTACCTATAAATAAGCCATAGACATCTAGACATAATTTGCGCATTTTTTAAATATATTTTTTTATCCAAACATAATATTAGTTAGTGGTGGCAATTTTTATTATACAACTTTTCAAAATTTTTGTTGTAATATTTTTAGCCAGATCTTACAAATATACATCTCATAAATAATATCAATACCTCTCATTTTGATCTAAAATTGATTAATCAAAAAAATATTACGGTTTTAAGAAATATTAGTAACTACATTATCTAATTAATTCTTTTGAAAGATAAATTTTCAACATTGACAAACCCGCGCAAAGCGCGGGACACATACTAGTTAAAGAAAAGAAAAAAAAAAAGTCATAGAATAAATGTCAATTACATTGGTAACTCGAAAAAAGCACTAGAAAACATGAAAAATTTTGCTAGACGAACACCATTTCAAGCGTAAATGACAACGCCCTGAAATTCAGATCACTTACTATAACAAAAAGTTCCGTTCTATAACTATAAGATATGTTATAGTTTTTTACTTGTCACACACTAATGCTTGTTTTGCTTACATTGAAAATCCTTGTTTTCACAGAAAAAATGAATGGAAGAAACAATTTATCAAAACAAGACGCAAAGAATGAAAGAAAAATGAATGGAGAAGGAAAGAATCTTCTGAAATGATATATTGATAGAAACTGTGCTGGGCAAGAAACTATTATTTTCCATTTTACTTTATATTAAAAAAAATGATATAAAGCCTCAAATCCGCCCAAATTAACTTCTTGACGCTTAGACCTATTTTAATAGTTGACTTTTACTTTATAGTTTATATCAAAAACAATTTTCTTTGTTTTAATAGAAACTATCATTTTCCATTTTACTTTATATGAAAAAAATTTAGTATAATGTCTCAATTCAAATACAATTAACCAAACTCGGGATTTATTTACTCGGTTTGGCTCATTTTAATAATTTATTTTATGAATTAAAATAAGATAACAAAATTATTTATTAAAATGAAATATATATATTGATAAGATAAATATTTGTATTATGTCAAAAAAGTACTTAGTAGGTATTGAAGTGTTAAAAGACTGAATATTTCTTAAAACGAAACTAATAGAAAAGATTGAATATTTCTTATAACACTAATAAACTAAAAACTATTTATACAATCCATTACATGATAGGTTTGAAGTTGTGGAAGTTAATACTCTCTCCGTCCTAAACTTATTGTCCAACTTGAATTTTCAATTTTAATACATATTGAACTAAAATTGAAAATTCAAATAAGAAAATAATTTTAGAACAGATGAAATAAATCTTTTTAATACCATACACACAAAAAAAAATATTGATATGGCACACGCATCAACAAATTTTTTTAACTTTATTTTTCTGATATAAAATATTTAATAGGAATAGGAAAAAAATAAGGGAAAAACGTGGATGTGCATTATTTAGAAAAAATTATTCTATAGAGCAAATATATCCTTTTTTTTGTGGAGCAACACACTCATTATACAAAAAAAATATCATGGCCCCTTAATTTTGTGCTAACTTTTCCGGTAAAATTATAATGTTGCCCTATTATGTGTGACTGAACAATTCTAGGTGGTACTATATGGAAGATTTTCTCCATTATAAATACCTACGGAAAACATACGAATTCTCTCCCCAATCATCTCACAACAAAACGAGAAAACACAGAAACAGAAACGACCCAAGTCTGCCAAATCTCGAGTCTCGTTTCCTCCTCCTCTAAGTTATCGGCGATGGCGGCACTACAATACTTGGAATCACTTCGGAATAACCATCCTGAGCTCTCCGATTGGTACAATACCCTCGCAGATCTGTACCAGCGCAAGCTATGGCACCAGCTCACTCAGAAGCTCGAACAATTCGTAACCCTTGCCATCTTTCAGGTACCAACTCCTTCGTGACAATTCCATAGGATTTCCGTTGAATTTTGATTGTGCTGATTTTAGAGCCTTTTTTTTTTTTCTTGGTTAACTTCTTGGGTTTTTGCCGGTAAGTTAGGTTTTGGGAATTGACAAAGTGGTTTGGTCCCGGTAGGGATATGAGGGGTTTTGTGGTGGGCTTTTGATTCCGCTTCTTATCATGTGTACTATACGGTGAATGGGGGATTTTAAGATTTAGATTTGTTTGATGCCTCTACTAACAGAAAAAAATAAATTGTGGGGGATTTAGATTTAGATTTTTGATTTATTATGGCTGGGGTTTTGGGTTTTTGGGAGGTTTTTAGTCTGACAGAAAAAAAAAGCCTAACCGAATTGTGAGGGAAAAGGCGCCAATCCTAACAGAAGTGCAGAGCGGGAATTAAATAAATTGGATATTTTCGTCCATGTGGGTGAGACCGGGAGAGTGATGTGAATGTGTACTATTTTGGGATAGCATGATTGATATATATATATATATATATATATATATATAGATATATAATATTGCAATGCTGGGGTTTTGTTGTTTAACGGTAGCTTTGAAATTCAGTCTAGTTTGATGTAAAGATTTGTAGCAAGTTTTTCTAACTGCCGGAATGGAAAAAGCAACCTAACACCTTTCTTTGGGCCCAATATTGCGTTTTATAGCTTCCTTATCAAAGTAGAATGAATTTGATGGAGAGCATTGTGAATAGAAAACAAAACTTTAAGCATTTTCCATTTGGCCATTGTGAAAGTATTCTTGATAAGCATAATTTGTCTTTCATGTTTTTACTCATTTAACATGTTTTTAATTATGCTTTGCCCTCTTTCAATTGGATTTTTTGTTCATCGGAATCTTATGTGTTTTCCCTTTTTCCTCGTTCGATTCTCAGGCTGGGGATGCTCTCATACAGCTATATCATAATTTTATTACTGACTTCGAGACTAAAATCAACCTTCTCAAGCTTGCTCATTTTGCCGTCACAGTTTCTAGGCAGTACTCGGAAAGAGAAGCAGCAATTGGCTACCTAGAAGGAGTGATTGAAAAGCTTCGCAATACCAGAGAGTTGAGAATAGAGGAGCCTATACTCTATATTAAGATGCAGATTGCTTTATTTAAGCTAGAGCAAGGGAATCAAAAAGAGTGCAAAAACCTTTTGGAGGAGGGAAAGAGTACCTTAGATAGCATGACTGACATAGATCCGACTGTATATGCTAGCTTCTACTGGGTTTCATCTCAGTACCACAAAGCTCGCCAAGAGTTTGCTGAGTTCTACAAAAGTGCACTTCTTTATTTGGCTTACACATCCGTTGAGTCTTTGTCTGATACATTCAAGCTTGATTTGGCGTTTGACTTATCCCTGTCAGCGTTGCTTGGAGATAACATTTACAATTTTGGGGAGCTGCTTGCCCATCCAATCATCAAGAGTCTTTTGGGGACCAAGGTAGAATGGCTCTACTCAATTCTTGAAGCATTCAACTGTGGTGATTTAGTTCGATACCGGGAACTATGCAATATTCATAGAGCTGCTCTCAGTTCTCAACCAGCACTGGTGCAGAATGAGAAAAAACTTCTGGAGAAGATCAACATCCTTTGTCTAATGGAAATTATTTTCAGTCGACCCGCCGAGGAAAGGACTATCCCTTTAAGTGTTATTGCTGACCGAACCAAACTTTCTGTAGAAGATGTGGAGTACCTTCTCATGAAGAGCCTCTCTGTTCATTTGATTGAGGGAATAATTGATCAAGTTAATGGCACCGTTCATGTTTCGTGGGTTCAGCCAAGAGTATTAGGCATATCGCAGGTCAAATCTTTGCGGGATCGGCTTGATAGTTGGGTGGAAAAGGTTCACACCACTTTGGTATCCGTCGAGGCAGAGACACCCGATTTGGTTACATCGTGATTCTGCTACCGTTTAGCATAACTTTGCTCTAATGTTCCAGCCAGAGAGACAGTAGATCATAGTTTATTTAATTGTACACTATCTAAAGGCAGTTTTTTGAATTGCTTTTGGGACTATCATATTTTGCTTATCCCGGTCAATTTATTTACTTTTCTCACCAATGTTTTGTTTGATATATTATTCTGCGACCTGTGCGAGATTAGTCATTGACAGTAACGATGTTAAAATTCAACTTTTGCGTGGGAGAATTAGGAAAGCCAAAACTTCTGCCTGCGATAGATGCCTGGGTACTATATTGGATGTTCAGCCTGAATTCGGAACAGATTTCTAAAGTTTAGGAGAGAATAAAAATGAAATTTGCTCGCAAGTAGATGCATGTTCTCTCAAAATGGAAAATGTTCTTCTACTTTGGGGGGTATTATTGGTTATGGATGTTGATATCTAAAAGCGCTTGGTCGAGGACTCGAGGTACTCATCCATTTAGCAGGTTTCTACCCACCCATTTAGGGTGTAGAATGGATCTATAGTGATGCAGGTTTCTACTATGTAACGTCTAAGCTGAGTGCTTGCCAAGTATTTAAAAAATAAAGAAATACTCATCCATTTCCTTTGTTATGTGGAATAACATGTGGACAAATATTCCACTTGCTTATCAAAGTTTCATCTTATGTAATGACCAAAATGAAAAATTCTAATCATCTATTCTTTGAGTGTTAGTTTTTTGTTGAACTATTCCGTCAAATCAGAGCGATGGCAAGTGGAGATTCAATTTATTTGGCAGAAAGCGCAGTTAAAAAAAAAAAGGTTCATTTTTTGGTGTTTTGTTGATGGCATGTGTGTATTATCTATTAGAGTGAACATCCAAGTGGATAAAGTACTCTTTCTGTCTCGAAACAATCGTCCAGTTTAGATTTTTACTTCTAATACAGTTTAAAACGATTGTCCAGTTTAGACTTTTACTTCTAATACAATTTAAACTAAAAACCAAAATCAAAATTAGTGGGATAGAGAGAGTACAAGTTAAAGGTTTTATGACACTAAACATAACAATTTTTTTCTTCGAAATAATACAAGAGATTTAGATTGATAACACATAAACAATACTCGATTACTTTTGACGTAAGAAAAATCTAACGCTCTAAAAATTCTCTATCAAACATTTTCATAATATTTTAAAATGCTAATTGGGACAATGGTTATTTTTCACACATGACATAGGAAAGTACATGTATCTTATTGCTGCATTCTCAAAGCAAAGAAAATGTGTATTTGATTCTCATAGTAGAACTTTTTTTCTTTCGGTCCAAATAGCATTTATTTTTTATTTTATTTTTTTGAAATGGATATTTTACTTCAATAAAGAAACAATAAAATTATTAGAAGGGATTTTATTTTTTTGGGGAAAATAAAATTAGAAGGTTATCTTGGACTGTTTATAGGTTGTTAAGGGGATATTTGCTATTTGGAAAAGTTTAAAGGTTGTTCTTACTATTTCCTAATAGCTCGGGGGTTTCTATATTTCAAAAAAAAACACTTCTCAACAGAACCCCCAGACTGGAAGTCGGAAAATTACAGAGAAACCGGTATACGATTCAACCCAAATCTCGCCTCCTTCTCCAAGTCATCGGCCATGGCGGCTCTCCAGTACTTGGATTCTCTTCGGAATACCCAGCCTGAGCTCTCCGAATGGTACAACACCCTCGCGGATCTGTACCAGCGCAAGCTATGGCATCAGCTCACTCAGAAGCTCGAACAATTCGTAGCCCTTGCCGTCTTTCAGGTTCCGCCTCAATTTCTGAGAATCTTTTGTCGTTTTCAACAATTTATTTTCCCATTGTGTGTCTATATGTATTTTTTATTTGAGGGCTGTACTGGGTTGGGTTTTGCGTGGAAGTTACTTGGTTTCTCTGCGAATTGATGAATTTATTTCGTAAGGTGAGGAATTAGGTTTGACTGTAAATCCTTCTGAAGAAGTTGATTATGGGGCTTTTGAGGGAAAAGAAAGTTCTTTGACATCCCGCATCCTATTTATGTACACTATAACACTATACCAGGAGGGGGTGGGTTTAGGGGTGTTCTGCATATTTTTTGATGTCTTCATGAATGTAATTCGTCTAATTATTCTTTAACTTTTTGGAATGAAGCATAATAAACATAGTGCTATTCCAGGCACTGGAATCTCAACATAAGCTTTAAGATTCAGGATTGTTGAATCTTCAGATGTTACAAGAAATGTAGGCATTTTGAAACTTCGGGTGGGAGAAACTAACCATATACTTTCAGTGAGATATGAGGGCTATAGATTTTTGCTAAAGGAGGATGAAAGTGAGAGTTCCTGTTTGTCAATAATAATTAGAAAAGGAAAACAGGTTTCTTTTTTTACCTACCTGTTATGAAAATTTATATTTGGAATTTTGTTGTCATTTGTTTGTACCTAACATGCTTAAGGAATGTTTCTTGCCCCTTTCCATTGATTGTTCTTGAGTGGCATCTTATGTGTTTCCTCTGTTTGGCTCTTCACAATCTCAGGCTGGGGATGCTCTCATACAGTTCTATCACAATTTCATCACTGATTTTGAGACGAAAATCAATCTTCTCAAGCTTGCACATTTTGCCGTCATAGTTTCTCGTCAGTACTCAGAGAGAGATGCAGCAATTAGCTATCTTGAGGGAGTGATTGAAAAGCTTCGTAATACCAGAGAGCTGAGGATAGAGGAGCCTATACTCTACATTAAAATGCAGATTGCTTTATATAAGCTTGAGCAAGGAGATCAAAAAGAAAGCAAGAAACTTTTAGATGAGGGCAAGAGTACACTGGATAGCATGACTGACATAGATCCCTCTGTGTATGCCAGCTACTATTGGGTTTCATCCCAATACCACAAAGCTCGCCAAGAATTTGCTGAGTTCTATAAAAGTGCTCTTCTTTATCTGGCTTATACATCAGTGGAGTCTTTGTCTGATTCATTCAAGCTTGTAAGCTCTCAACTTAGCTTCTGTATAAAATTTTATGGTGTTTTTATTCTTATGTTTAAGGTCTGAAGCATTTTAGTAAGTTCCTCTAGCTTCGTGTTACTATATTTTCTTCGTCACCTTTAATGGTTATGATATGCTCCCTTACTCCTTCTGTATCCTGCTATTTTCTTTTACCATGCTGACAATTTCCTCTATTTATGGATCTTACCCTGAATCACATATTTGGGTTCAATCTAGGAGTCTCGTGATATAGTAAATTGTTGTGCTGCTGTTTTATTGTAAGAAGGCATCAGACCCGGATGGAAATTTCAGGAGGATTAATTTCCTTAACTGTTTTGGGATCATCATATGTGGAAGAAGAAGGGTATTGTTGCACACAAAGTTCTTTAACATGGGCTTCATGTTACATTTAAGGTGTAAGGTGTAATATAGTAGTTGGAGCACTTCCTTGTTTATGCATGTCTCGTATAGCAGTTGGAGCACTTCTTCAATGTGGGTGCAATAAAGGTGTCTTGTTTATGTATGTCTCATAAATGTGTTATCGGGCAATTCCTAAGGAGTGTTGCATCTGTTGAGGTTATAATTATTCCTGGGAAGGAGCTGTGGTTAGTATTATTCCTAGGAAGGTTTTGTGTTGATTACTTTGTATTTCAGTTCAGTGCCAAAATTGTGTGTGACCAGTATATTTGTTAAAATCTGGACTTTTTGGTTGAACTTTATTACTTATACTGCTTATTTTGAAAGTCTTTTGTAGCCCCTTCTGCTAAATTTCCTCCTAAAGAGGATACTCCATTAACCAAATAAAGTTATTCAGCTGGTTCAATGATAATTCTCCTGTCAAGAAAGTTGTTAAGCTCCTTAGTTTTGCTTTCTCTTTAAGATATTCTTTGTCTGATAGTCTACGGTATGTCCTAACGAACATGTGATTCTTTCAGGATTTGGCTTTTGACTTATCGCTCTCAGCACTTCTTGGAGATAACATTTACAATTTTGGAGAGTTGCTTGCCCATCCAATTGTGAGTTTTTTTTTGAAATTGTGCTGTTTCTTGAGGGTCATTTATTGTCTCTTCTATTGACTTAGATTTGTAATTATCAAAGTAGTCCCTGTGACATTTATTTTATCCGCAAAGAAAGCTAGCTGATATCAATGCTTTGTAGCTTATTATATATCAATTGATGATAATTTCTTTTTGTTACTTCTCATTTTTAACTTGCTTTTTCGGGAAAAAATTTTCTAGTTATGATTTTAAGAATGTCTTGCTCAATTATTAGTTTTTTCTCCATTATCCTCCTGTTAGAAATAGTTCATCACAGCCTTCCTCCTATTGAGTATAAGTTAGCTGTGGGAGTTATTGTTCATTGTTTCTATTGACTTTTAATGAAATGTTAGCTACTAGAAACTTTCCCTTCATGTGTTCTTTCTTTTTTCTTTTTGGGCCAATGATCATGGTGAATTTGACTAGAAGTCTTTATGCTATAGTAATTTTCCTGTTTCTGATTTTGAGGATTAGAAATACTCATGTAATATCAGATTTCTTGCAAATAGTTGCCCTTAATTGTTGTGTGAAAGCTTGGATTTAATGTGTTTGAATATGGTTCTAACAGACTAAGTGCCCAGTGGAATGAGCAAATTATAAGGGCTGGGGAAATATTAGAGATTGGTGGACACACCAGAAAAACTGCCGAATCATGCGGAATGAGCATTATAGGTTTTGGAAATATAAGATGGATTCATAGAGTCTCTAAACCAGACAGATAGGTGACGAAGCTATTAAAAAGGAAGTCCTTATGGACAAGGAAATGATATGCTTGGCTCTTTTCTTAGTTCAATTTTTCTTCTTCTTATTGGGCAAGACTCAGAGCCTGGCCATTATTAACAGATCACTAGTGTCTAAGAAAACAGAAAATGGCTGTGACAATTTTTGCTTAGCCACAGGTGTATATGAAAACTTCTTCTTAGCACTATATGTGACTGTAACTTTTTATTTCTTGTACAGATCAAAAGTCTTTTGGGGACCAAGGTAGAGTGGCTCTACTCTATTCTTGAAGCATTTAACAGTGGTGATTTAGTACGTTACCAGGAATTATGCAATGTTCATCGATCTGCTCTGAGCTCTCAGCCTGCGCTGGTGCAAAATGAGAAAAAACTTCTGGAGAAAATTAACATTCTCTGTCTAATGGAAATTATTTTCAGGTATATCGAACAATTTGTGAGTGCACTTTTGATATTGAGGTTGCAGATTTACTGAAGTATTTTTAATTGTATGCAGTCGACCATCGGAGGAGAGAACTATTCCTTTGGGTGTTATTGCTGAACGAACTAAACTTTCTATAGAAGATGTGGAGTATCTTCTCATGAAGAGCCTTTCCGTAAGCTTGTTGATCCTTCAGATAACTTATACTCTCATTATTTTAGGAATCATTTATTCTATTTATTGCTGTTTGATTTTGAGCTGATACTCCTTGCCTCTTTTTGTCCCTTCATGTTGTAATGTAGTATAGAGCATGAAAGTTGCATATCGTGATGGGTATTTAGTGGTAGCAAGTTTGAGTCACTTGGTCATGTAATGCTATTTTCCTTCTACATTCTTTTTTCTTGGAAATACAGAAATATGTTTTTCAAAATAATGATGGTTTTTAGCCTCTCCGTGTACCTTTGTTTTTAAACTTACTTTCCTGTTTTTGTTCATCTTATACTGGAAATTCCTGTCCTTCCCTCCTATTTGAATAGTATTACCATTGGTTGAAAGTGCTAGTTTTAGTATGGTAGTGGACGAGAGTGTTTGATGTCTCTGCTTGTGTGAGAAAATTAAAATGCATGTCTGCTGTAATGTTGCAACTTCTTCTCTTATGTTAATTTATTCATGGTTCCTTTTCCCTTCCGCTTATTCATCTCTTTCGACTACTTGAGGTGTTATTTGCATCGCTATTTTGCTGGTATTGTTTTGCCTGTCGAAGTACCATCACACGCACTAATATGATTGCTGGTTAGTTACCTGATTGTAGTTCTCAGACTGATGTGGTTTCTGCAAAGTTTATGCTGTAATAATTATTCTTTGATGATTTAATGCATATTCTAAAGTTTGTTCAATCTACCTTTGATAGGTTCATTTGATTGAAGGAATAATTGATCAAGTTGATGGAACAATCCATGTCTCTTGGGTTCAACCAAGAGTATTGGGTATATCCCAGATCAAATCTTTACGCGATCGGCTAGATAATTGGGTGGAAAAAGTACACACTACTTTGGTGTCTGTCGAGGCAGAGACGCCTGATTTAGTTGTATCCTGATTTCCTTATTTAGTTACATTATGTTACTGATGTTTTAGTAATGTAGCGCCTGCCGTAACTGAGTTAAATGTTCGAGCGAAACTACAGAAGACGGTTATTGGAATGCTTTGAGCTCTATTTACATTTCACGTGCCATTTTTTTAGCAATTCTCTCTTATGTTTTGGGTTTTTCTATTAGGTTGTGGTTGATGTAAACTTCTAGACTTGGGCAGATTAGCAAGTTTACCGGATAATTGTTGCAAATATTTTCGAGATTATTATAGAAAATATGATCGAATCTTTTTCATGTGGTCGCGAAATTCGATCCACTTTGACATGACTATATCAGTTCTTAGCCACTTTTTGATGAATTACCGTTTGAATTTGTATTCACATCAACCATCGTTTGAGCTTGTCATCAACTGAGACATTTGATCTGGGGGCTTTGGCCATATTTCAGCATATGAACTTGATCGCGTTCGACAGCATTGGAGCCCTTTGAACCATGACTAATGCACCGATAAGTTGTGTTCCACTTTAATACTAGGTTAATGAAGCTTGTAAATAATCTGAAAAATGAAAATAAATAGTTTCACTGAAAAGCTTTTCATGTCATATCAATATTCAGATGGCAGTACTGGAGTAAATAGCATGCTCCCCAAAATCAGCCTAATCCTTTGAGATCATATCTCAGACATCAAAAAAAAAAAAAAAAAAAAACCTTTCCAATCAAACCCTCTCTCCTCCACTTTCGTTTTGAACCTATCCAAACTCCTTGGGTTAACTTGCCTCCCCAACTCTTCACCCCTCTTAACCTTCTCGATCGCTCTCCTCTGCTCCTCCTTCAATCCATCATGGTCATAATATTCCAAAAACAACTTCCCAATGCAGGGATCATACCCTGAATGATTTGACTTCATGATCGGTTATCATAAATGCTTCCAAATGAAGCCTCCCACGCAGTAGTTTATTGATTACGTACAAATTAAGGCATTAGATTACGGACTTTGCACTCAAACAATGATTATTTTTTGTTTTGTTTTGGTTAGTGTTTTCTTATTTTGTTTTAAGTGAATCCCATAGGGTTTACATGTCCATACAATGTATCTTTCAAGTTCATTTTTAGTGAATTAAATATGCGTATCAAAAATGAATGTTTCTGAATGGGGTAGGGGGTAAATTAAAAGAAAAAACCAAAATAAAGAAAATAAAAAGGGGAAATGAAGAAAATGCCGTGATATAGTCCACGCCTTCTATGTCCGTGGAATGAATTCTCATGTCCATAGCAAGTGAGCTCAATTTCAGGCTTAAATTGTTTGTGCAGACAAATTTCGGGTGCTAAAATCCTAGGAAGACAGAAACAACCTCAACAATTTGCTGACTATATATGGCAATCACTTATGGCAAAAAGAATTGGTCAAAGCTGTGACAAACCAAGAGGTGGGATCCTTTAAAGAAATCGCACTACTCTAGTTCCATCACACCAAAATAACATATCAGGGAGTCCATTGATTCACCAAAGCAATGGGATCCTGAAAAGTTCATTTTTAAAAGTTACTAGCATGCCTCTCTAGAAGTTGAAGCTTCGACAATTTCACCCTACCACCTCATATATTTTCATCATACTGTCAGAAACGTCATAAGCTCCCTTCTTTTAACTGTTCTAAGCATCTCTTCAAGTAAAAAAAAGCTTCTCATTTTAGTATTTTACTTCCCCAAGAATCAAGAAAATGGGAATGACACACGAAACGTAAGTTCAGCCTAGTATATCACAAACATGCTTAAAATAGGAAAAAATATCAAAAATACAAAGAATAGAAGGAATCCATGGAAGCAATCCATAGAAGCAATCAAATGCAAGACACAACAGGTAACAAGTCTGAAACAACAATATGAAACTTGACCTTAAACACACTCAGCTCAAGTTTTGCCCTTCCCTTCCATTAAAGAAAAACCTGTGTTTGCATGGCTTGCATGAGAGTTCCAATGAAATTCAGGTCTGAGAATATTATTTTGTCTGGCTGCTCTCCCTCCTGCACAATCAAATGGTAAAATTAGTGCAGCTAGTTCAACTCCATAGAAAACAGTAACCTTTTTGATTTTCTAGTCAGCTAAATAATAACATGAGAATTGCAGTTACCTTTCCCACATGAGATTCCTTTTGGTTTCAACAGATACCCATTCACAATCAACTGCTCTGGAAAAAACTGACTAGCAGCACATTCTTCTCGGCTCTCATTATGAGCTTAAACCTGCAAAGGAGACTATGCAGGCGTGCCAAAACCCCAGAATGCCTTCCTGTTTGTTCCTCTTTTACTCAGCAATAGGCTGGGGCCCTCCAGCATTGAGGCCATTGCTCTAAGCATGCAATAACTTACCAGACAAGCCTCCTTTGTATCCCACTTTCATTTTCCGCATCTATAACAGACTTCTTCGTCTCCTCAGACAAACTAGCACAATAGTGGAAGACCTGATTTTCTGATTCTGACACTTTCCTTCTGAACTATCCAATAGGGGAAAGCACGGGTTTTTATTCCTTCATTAGCTACATTGTCCGGAGAATCATCAGGAGTATGGAGGCAGAGAAGGATACATATGAAAAATCATGGTTCTGTGAGACAGACACAACATATTCTGAACTACCAGAATGCTTTAGACTCTGCTCAGTTGGACTACTAATACTTGCAACACAAAATACTGGCAAAGAGGATTGGCTCTATAGGAGGAAGATCAGGACTCTCTGACCTTCCAGACTATGAGTAGTACATTAAATCACCCGTTAGCAAAGCATGCAAGAATCGAAGTAGAATTTTGACCCAGTTATTAGCTCTTTAATAAACAGATTCTCAATGATTCATATTAATAAATGTTTTATCAAGTAATAATCTGATTGCTATGACGTATGGTATGAATACATCAAGCAATAATCTGATTTCTAGTGTTCAAAACTCAAAATGAAGATTCTAATTAATGAACATTGTAAATATCCAAAGAAAGAAAATAAGTGTATGACTGAAAAGCCTTTAATGTCATTACAAAATTCAGATGGTAGAGACAGTAACATTAGAACCTTGCTCATTTGAATCCAACAACTATATTGGATTTTCAGCATTTCAGGCAACATGGAATCCTAATCCCTATCCTCAATCATGTAATAGAAATCAAAATTTGTAAAACCGGCAATCATACTGATGATAATCCCGATTTGGCTTCAAATTTTGATGTCTAACCTCCACAAGCTTCATGTTGTCGTCACACCATTGGACATTCCAGCATAGACTCTGGTTACGGTAATGCTTCTTTGAGCAACAAGAATTTCAGTCTCTTCAATCCAGAAAATAGCAATCCATAGCACGAGGAAAATCTCCTGCTCACCTTCAAAATTTTTATTCTCTAAGCTACACATGCTCGAGCACTGCTGTTGTCATTGCACAACTGAACATTCCTGCGTGGATTACGGTTTGACTTCTTTGAGTAACAGGAATTCCATTCCCCTCCATCCAAAGCATAATAATCCATAGGATAATCCACCACCACCTCCTCCCTCTCTTGCCTACCTACATCCCTACGGCTGCAACAAGATTCATTCTTCAAACAATCTGATCCCTCCTTGCAACTTGAATTCACTCCCGCTTTCAATCTTCTCTCCCACCACCCTGGTATGTAACCAAGAGCAATCTCTGCCTCGAATGTAGTTAAAAGAGGTTTCTTAAATGCATCCCCCCAATCAATAGATAACCTAGGACAAGCAATTTGGATCCAGGCATCCACAGAATCCTCGAACAATGCAATCCTTTGAGGCGATATCTCGGACATCAAGACCACCATCCAGTCAAACCCTTTCTCCTTCATTTTCCCTTCCAACCTATCCAAACTCCTTGGGTTACCTTGTCTTCCCAAAGTACCTAATATAATTCCCCAATTCTTCACCCTTATTGCCTTCTCAATTGCCCTCCTACGCTCCGCTTTCATTCCACCGTGATCATATTCTTCCAGAAACAACTTCCCAATGTAAGGGTCATACCTAAATGCTCTAACTTCAGGATTTGCGATCATAAACGCCTCCAAATGAAACCTCCCATCGGCCACAAATATAATAACCTCCTCATTTTCTGCATCTTTGTCAGATAACTGATTCCTAATATTCACACTGGGGGCAGTGCATCCAAGTACTTCCCCTGCTGACAAGGGCTTCGCCTGCGGAACCAAAACCCTAAACCCTAGCTTTTCCAATTCGGGCTTTACAGCACGAATCGCATGCGAGAATTGAATCGTACCAGCAATAATAAAGCTAAACTTTTCACTGGAGGCGAAATTCAACTTGAGTTGGTTAAGAAACTTACTAGAGTCAATATAAATCTCAACAAAAATATACAAACAAGGAACAGCAGTAAAATCAATAGGGACAAGACAACTGTGACCGAAGTGGATCAAGAGGTCGGCGGAGAGGGCGGCGGCGGCAAGGTCGTCGACGCAGCAAGCGCCGTAGGTGACGTCGCCGAGGACGAAGCAGTGAGTGGCTGAAGTGAAGGCCTGGAGGATGTCGGAGATGATGAGGGAGTACATGAGGAGGCCTTCGGGGAACTGTAGAGCTACGCGCTTTGCGTCGGAGGAGCGGATTCGCCAAACGCATTTGTGGATTTCGAAGTTGTAGTTGGAAGGCAAGACGGAGATGGCGGAGTTGAGAGCGGCATCGTTTAGTATGGAATCGGGAATCTGGTTCTTCACGAAGCGTTTTGGACGGGGTTTGGCTGCGTTGAGTACGGCGGAGGCTGGGGTTTCGGGAAGAACTACCGGTACGAGGTCGCCGGAAGTCTGGTCCATTTGGACTGCTTGTGAAGGAATTGGGTGCGGCCCGAGCGCAGGGGACGGAGCTTATTTCGTTGATTTCTCTTAAATGGAACACATGCTAAAACCTTTCGTGAGAAATCAAAATAAAAGGTCAAAATTACTGATACAGTAGGTTACAACAATTAGAGTGGGAAATAAATGTATTATTACTATTACGTTCGCCTTTTCTTTTATTTTACGTATAATAGTTTTCTTGACTAAAATTTTAAATGATTGTTTGTTACTAGTACATAACATTAATCCAATTGAAGAAATTTTAATTAAAATGGTGAAATAGGTACAAAAATGTAAATTGGGAAGAGGTCACTTGTTAGTTTCTAGTGCTAATTTAGACGAAAATTGGCAAGCATGTGTAGATTGAGAAGTATTTGTATAATTTCTAGAGTTTGACAGAATGGATTATTTTTCTGTTATAAAGGAAACTATATTTTACGGCCAAAAGAAATTGCTTTAAAAATACTCAGACTAAAACTCTTCCAAGTATTGGTTTTGTACAAAAATAAAAATAAGAAATAAAAAATTGTTGCGTGACCAATACTAAAGTTTTCGATTAACTTAGTTGAAGACAAAGGATGTGTACAAATGTAAAAGAAGTTAGTGTTTTTTTTAGGTATTTTTTTTTCTTAGGAGTGTAAAAAGTTGTATTGAAAATATAAAAAGAATATGGTAGGATGAAACAGTTATTAATATTTAATTTTGAAAAGAAAAACGTTCTCCCTTCTTTCCAAAATAAATGTTGTTGGAGGAAAACTAATTTTTTTTCAAAATAAATGTCGTTTTCGCATATCTATGCATATTTTGTCAATTTCGTCCGGCATTGCCCCTACATGGAAAATTGTAATTGTATTTTTTTTTTTTTTTTGAAAAAGATGAGATATATTAAACTAGAATTATCCAAAACTGATGGAAAATCAATCCGGTGGAGACGAACAAATAGTGTCTCGCACCTTACAGGACTTAGCATAATCCGCTATTTTATGAGCTATGGAGTTTTCTAATTTATGAATCTAATAAAAATATTGGGAACTAAATGATATTGGGAATAGAATTGTATTGAAAATAAATGAGGATAGTTTGATATTTTAATCAAATATTTATTGTCTCTTTAAATTTTATGAAACTCCTCCAGCGACATATACTTTGGAATAGAAGGAGTAGTAGAAATAAAAACAAACAGAGAGCCGTAGAATACTTGTGATTTTCATGGATTATTGAAGCAATAGATACAAACTGCCCGACTATAGGAATGACAAATTCTTATTGGCACCCAAAACTTTGGGAAATCTAGTCTCCAGAAAAATGGTCATCTCTATGAACAATCTCCGTCCCAAATAAAAAGGGTCATTTTGGAAGATCAAATAGTATGTACGATAAACAAATTTCACCTTGTGAAACACCTCGATAATCTACAATGAAAAGACTTTTGACGCCCTACAGCTCTAGCACCTCTACACATTTGGGAACAAAGAATGAAAATGGAATGAACTGTTGTCATTCACTATAGCTCCATCGTATATATCATATATCCTACATGTATTTGCCAGAAACTCTAGATTACAGCAATTACAACATACCAACCTGCTCATTCACAAAAATGGGCAATGGCTGATGGTACAAAATTACATGGAGTTCAAATTCGAAGTATCGGTTCATTTAACAAAGAAAGATTCCCAACCCTCTGGGGCGATTATCATAAAGCGTCAACAGTTGGAACATCTCTAATATTCACTTGATGTGGCCAAACCCGAAAAACTCCAACCCAGTTCCCCATTTCTATTTGTCGTGTTTTTTTTCGTGGAAGAGTTCAACGAGGATTTATCACCTCCTTTCTCATCTAGCTATCTGTGACCACAAACATCTTCAGTTACTCATTCTTGCCGGATGAATGGCGAGGAGCTCACATCAGTTGTGCTATAGAACGAATCCCCTTCTCCATTATAGTAATGCTCTTCCCTTTCATCATCCCACTTGACAACCTCCCTTATATACTTGAATGCCTCGTCAACTGTCACACGATCTCTTGCTCTAGCTTGCCATACAAACAATTTCCGTGCTGTAAGGGATGCATAAAGGTCTTTGAATCTCATAGCCACGTAGTAGTAAGCCTGTTGTGCTAGGGATTGATTGTTGTGAAGAGGCCTCACGGGACTAAAGTCCATGAACCACTCGCAGGTACTCAGAGGCACCCTGTTGACCTTCTCTTCGAAAAGGTCATACTTGTTTAGAACCAACACAAAAGGGGTCTCTTTGAAACAGGGATGCCTGATCATTGTCTCAAATAGCTCTTTGCTTTGCATCATCTTATTCTGGAGTAGCACTCCGCTCCCACCATGCTCTGCGACCACTGTCATCTGATCGTAGTCACTTAATGAAACACAAAAGACTACCACGCGTACGTCTTCAAACATCTCCACCCATTTGCATCCTTCATTCATTCCCTTCGCGTTTACTCTGATTAGTTGGTACCTGGAAGGCAAAACTAAGAGCTACATTAGATACTTCTGCAACAGAACTCCATTGAATTAGCGAAAATTGAATGAATGAATCACAGAGCAATGATAATTACAGTTGATTGATGCGCCATCCACTTGTTGCTACCATACTTATGCTATGTTGTACATATTTGGAAAACATCAAGAGAATAACTAGACGTAAAAGAAATAATAACAATAATATTTCCTTGACAGTAAAAATAATGTCCAATTGTCATGAGAAAGAAGAGATAACCTAGTAAGAGGAGGGGGCTGAGCCTCAAGGTTATCTGTGTAAGTTTCAGACATTGGGCTTCGATCGTCCAAGGAGAACTCCATGAAAGCTAGGCCATTTCCTTGGGTTACACCTTCAGCATAAAGGATATCTCTCTCTGTGGGTTCGTATTCATTGCTTGATACTTCAACGGCCTAACAAAGCAAGAGATCATGAGTCGCCAATAACTGATGATCTTATCACGTAGAAAAGAATCAACACATCCTCCCATGATAGGGCCAATCCACACATGGTACCACAGTAATATTTTGCTTATTCAGGTTCTACCTAGATTTTCTCCTTTTGGGTAAAAATTAAACCTAGAATTTTAAAAATGAACTTCACCACTGCATAAAGAAAACATTGACAAACACAAACTTAACCTAGAATTTTAAAAATGAACTTCACCACTGTATACTCCGCCTGTCCTATACTTATAACAATTGTCAAGTTCAGAAACAAGAGAATGACAATGGGATGGAGGGATACCAAAGACTATTCTAAGGATTTTCATATTTTTGTTAATTAACCACAATTGTCATTATCTTGCAATGGAGTTCAAGTAGAAGTAGCTTGCAAAAGAAACATACAGGTTTGTTAACTGAATTGAAAGCAGAATATAAAAAGTTCATACCCTGCTCAAGAAATACTCTGCTACATCTGGAAGGAATAGAAGTTCATTTTTCCTTCTGTATGACTCCTGTATTGCAGGATCTCTCCATACCTCCTCTACCAGTGGAGCATATTCTCGTGTGGCAGCAGGGAAGAAGGCATCCAAATCTCCAGTTGCAATTATATCCAATAGCCAGTCAGAGAAGTTCTTCAACCTTGGGTTCAGGGAATAGACACATTGGTTATCGTCATTGCACTCAGCCTCTTCACCTGAACCAGATAGAACCTCAACAACAGTTACGAATGAGGCAACTAGGAAGCTCAAAACTGAACTTTTCCAAAACAATGAAAAGCTGGAAAAACAATGAAAGCTCCCAATCAGAAGGTACTCGGGTCCAACAATTCCAAATAAAAAAAGCAAAAAATGTATCTTCAAAAATGAGCGATCTTCTTTAAATACATAGTCTTGGTCTCTTGTGAAAGCTAAACACCAGCAGTGGAACAAGAATGTGGGATGTAGAAAATTTATGAACTGATTATACCATTGAAGCTAATCTTCAACGGATAAATCTCTTCGTCTTTTACAAGTATGCTATCAATCACAATATGATGTGTGATGATAAATTGACAATCATATTTCAAATTCAAGAGAAGGATTATGAAGAATTTCAAATGCCCTACATTGAAATCAGAACCTGGGTAAACCAGAAACGAATAATATAGGTTTAAAAGTTCTTATCGATATAGAGAAAATGACAAGAAGACCAAGTATTTACAGCTACGAATGACGCCAATATCGCTGATTTCACAAAAGCACAATTATCCACCACAGGTAAACTTCATATACTCAGAGTTCCATTAATGGGAAGTCAATTCAAGAGAAAAGGAGAAAAGAAAACTTTGAGGTGCCATAGCTCTGGCAACATTACCTTCTTCTGTACTTTGTTCACTCAAAACTATTGCTTTCTTCCTTGACAATTCTTCCTCCTCAAATCGTTCGCGCCCATCAAGAAGTATGCTTAGATATCTGTACATGTTGCTTTGGATCATGAGCTTAATATCCTGGAGTTCTTCAGCAGTGAACTTGTTCCCATATAAAAATTTGGCCTGTTCAACCAGATATAGAAATCACGCACCGTTCTGTAGAGTGTTATTAATACAAAGTAGAAAAAAAAGTCAGGTAATGGCATCGATATGCTTTAACTCGATTCTGTCGGATCTGCCATTCGAATCAACAATATAATTCATTTTATTCATTCCTAATCCACCGTTTTGCTTCCCACAGAACAAGGAAAAGGCAGTCATTATACTCACAGAAGCAAATGTTGTTGAGAAATGTCAAAATTCTGATAGGACGAAATTGAAATAATATTCACCTATGTCATAATTAGGTAGGTGTCGAAAATTGCCAAACCAGTTAAAGTTTTAACACTCCTGCCTACTGTAAAAGTTCCATTATGTTCAATTTTTGAGGAGGAAGTAAATGAACATCATGGTAGGGGAATGTATGTCAGAGCTTAAAACCTAGTTCCTGACAAGAAAGATACAGTAAAAATATGCAGATTGTAACAGGGAAAGGATCCATCGTCAAACTGAAACAAAGTTTTCCAGCAGAAACATGGGTTGAGATACAAGGACATGACATGGAGATGCATGATTTTTCAATTCGTAAATCTGAAAATATCCCGAAACTTTAGGAAAAGTTGCATTTTGCCAAAACACAAGTGTTGTATAATTAAAGGTAGCTTATTAATAACTATCAAAATGTTTCAACTTGATAATTCTTTAGCAAGCGATGTGAGGCTGCTCCAAAGACATGCACACAAAAAAATAGGGGGTGGTTTCTTTCCGGAAATTATCCCCTGGACAAGGACACCAGGCCAGAGGGGATTAAAAAAAAAAAGGAAGAGAGAAAGCAGTAAAAGGACGAGTCAAACAAAACAATAATCAAATAACTCAGTGGTCCAGGTTCAGATTACTGAACTACTACACAAAGTACTCAAATAATATTAAACTATTATTATACCTGTTTAAAGATGGTGCTGGTTCCAGATCCTGGAATTCCAATTAGCAGCATTTTCTGTATTCTTTTCTGTTCAAGATAATTTGGCACAGTAGTATAATTACTAGGCTCATCCCTCGGCGCATGAGGCTGGCCCTGAGGAACAGGCAACGAGAACAAGGAGCAGACAAACCTCGTTGATGCCTGTTCAATAAGTTAAATGTTAGACAAGTTCTCTGAACTTAATGATGCAAACATTTTAGCTGCCAGCTTTGGTGATCACCTTTTCCCAGATATTGCCCCGAATGTTGTTCTGACCTTCTTCCTCATATCGACCATCATCATACACCCAAAAGTGAGTATCACGGGGACATTGTACATTTGCAAGCTGCAACAGAAATAAGTCCATTTCAGATTTGACTCCAACAGTCATGATGTTGGTAGGATTTACATATGGTAAAAGTATAAGTAAACGACAGAGCTAACAATATAAACTTAAAATTTCATTTAGCACTAAATGGTTCATGTAGGAGACAAATAATAGGGATCCATCTGTATCCGTTGGAACAGGATGGGCATGAAAAATATAACACTGACATATACATAACCGAAGAACACTCTCGAATCAAGGACAAAATTGAGGGATACTTGGATCAGGTTCTGATAGCCAAACCTATCACTCACCAATGCAGACTAGTTTGAGAAGCAACTATGTGAGAGGAGTTTCTATATACGCATATTATAGTTCCACCAGGTATAGTACATACGGGACTTCTCAGTAATAACTACTTCAGGAAAAAACTGAGAAGAGTATTTTCTGAAGAATAACTTCTAAGATAAAGACAGAAAGTCCATTTAGAGCAGTACTTACAATCCCGGGAGTAAACATGTTATGAGGAGGAAAAAGGCAAAAGTAATCCCTAACTTATGTTGATTAATTAAAACAAATCACATATAACTACGTAAGTTTAATTTAAAATAAGCTTGAGTATTATAACTAAAAATGTGTCAACATCATACTCTGCTACTGCTAACTAACACCTGACTAAGTACTCGAAAAATGAACAGCCATCAAACACCTATTCATTCTACATTCAGTGTACACAGGCCAACCATGACTGCACTTCCCTTCTTTCTCTCGAGTTACTTATCTTCATCTCCCAGACTATAAACCAATCAAATAAAATCATCCACCAGGACATCCTGCAGTAATTTCCATTGTGTACCAGAAACATACTCACCAAAAAAACAAGTAATCCGCTTTCTACCATAACTTGGCTTAGGATGCCAAAAGGCTACAGAACGTCTGAGGAAACTACTTAGTTAACTACCCTTGACAGGAATCATTTCTTTCCAATCTACTTCTATTTATCAGTGTCTTTTATATATCTCCAACAAGCGGCTGTTTCAAAGGAATTGATTTAGTTGTGACCAGGAGTTTGGCTTATGTGGAGACAAACATTTTGCGTGGTAAAATCCTAAGATGAGACAGAAACAGCCCCAACCCTATGGCCAGTTAACTAAGCAAGCACTTATCAGAAAAGGAATCGATTTAGTTGTGACCAGGAGTTTGGATTAGAACTAACCATTCTTTTCTGTATATGTATATAAGGAGAACAGATAATTCTTTCAAGAAAGAATAAGAGTACACTACTCCAGTTGCGGTGCATCGGAAATTTATAAAGTGATTCAACCAAAGCAATGACCCCTTCAATAGGTGGTTTTCCAAGAGTTACTAGCCGAAGGTCGCTATGTGAGTCAAGCTTTACATTTTCATCCTGCCGCCTACATTTTCATCTTGCAACCAGAAATGTCATAAGCTGCCTCCTTCAAAACATTTAACGCATCTCCTCAAAAAGGTTCGAATTTAAGTACTTTACTTTCCCAAGAACTTTGCCCGCAGTTATAGTTTACTTCTGAGATTATTCAGTAAAAAATTTAATGGCGTGTCATATAAATCATAAGTTCAACACAAATAGTACATCGAAATTTGCTTAAAATACAAAGAATAATAGGACTCCATAGAAGCTAACACTTGCAAGACACAACACATAATAAATTTGAAACAATGACAGAAACCTTACCTTCAATACTCTCAACTCAAGTTTTGTAATTTCCCTTCCATTGATGTAAACCTCGGTGTTACCATTGCTTGCATGTGGACTGAGTTTTCCAGTGAAACTCAGGTTTGAACTTATTATTCTGTCAGGTTTTTCTCCCTCCTGCACATTCAGATAGCAGAAAATGCGTAAGTAGTTCACTTCCAAAAATTATAACATTAGTGATAATTCAGTTAGCTAATTAATAATATGAGAACTGCAGTCACCTTTCCCCACAAACCAGATTCCTTGTCGTACCAGTATTTACCAGGCTTCAATTTCCGAGGGGGAATAGGACACCCAAATAACTCAGCCATTTCTTCTGGTTTCAATGGATAACCATTCACAATCAACTGCTCTGGACGAAGCTGATTAGCAGCACATTCTTTCTCGGCTCGCATAATATGCTTAACCTCCAAAGGACTAAGCAAGCGTGTTAATACCCTCGAATGCTTTCCCAGTTTGCTCCTCTTTGACTCATCAATAGGCTCCCCAATGCAGGTTACACACTTGCGACCCTCCGGCATTGAGCCCATTGCTCTGAGCACACAATTGCTGCAATACTTTGCATCACACACGAGACAAAATTCCTTGGATTCCCACTTGCCCTTTTCACATCTATGACAGACTCTACTCTTCTTTCTCTTCTTCTTCTCCTTAGACACACCAACATACTCAGGAAAGACCTGATTATCTGATTCTGACATTCTCCTTGCTGATCTTTCAACAGTATTAAAAGTCACCACAGGGGCTCTTCTTCCTTCATTAGCTACATTGGCTGGGGAATTATCGGGAGGGTTATGTACAGACCCGGGGGAAGCAGAGGCAGATGCAGAGGAAAAATCATGGTTCTGTAAGACAGACACAACAGACTCTGAGCTACCAGAATGCCTTGGACTCTGCTCAGTTGGACTGGTAATACTTACAACACGAGATACTGGCAAAGGGATTGGCTCAACAACAGGAGGATTCTCTGATCTTTTAGACTCTGAAAATGATTCTGACTCGGACGCAGTCGGGACTGCACCAGAATTCACATCCACTGGTTCAACTCTAGGAGGCTCATATGAAACAGGAGGGCCCTCATACTCCATGGCGATAGAGTAGTCCAGATCAGCCTCATCTTCAGGGATAGGAGCCCCAGGAGGAAGCATCTTCCTAACCATCTCTCTCCAATCCTCTTTTCCATCGTCCTCCATCCAGAATTCAAGAAGCACCTAAATACTAACTTCAGTAATTCTCACAGGCCAGGAATCTTTTCAATTTCTGCTTAGAAGAACCATAATTTCTCTGACCCCAATTCAATTAGACGAACGAAACTGCAACTAAAATCACAGCAACTGAAAAAATGGGTTGCTACCCAACTTTGAACACATCAACCACAAGTCAACAACCCGAGCAGAGAGGGGTTATTGGATCCCAATCACCATCACAGCCTAAAATGACCAAAATCCAGCTGAATATCAACAATTCAAACACATTCAGCTAGTAATGCTTGATTGTCCCCACCACCACATGACATGAGACACTAAATTCCAGACCCAATTTTACCCAGCCAAAACTTTGGAAAAAAAATTAATTAACACAGCGTATAGGAAGTATAACAAAACCGATAGCCCAGAAAAACTTTGACAGTCCAAGCACAAGACTTTTCTGCTCCAACAACCAAAAGTGCACAAAAATGAGATGCCCTCAAAAAACACACCTTTTTTTTCAACTTTAAACTAAAGTTGCCATCTTGAACACGAGAAGCAGCCAATCCTAAAAACAGTTCAAAACGGTTGAAACTTTCAAGAGTCAAACTTCCCCACTAAAAATAAACCAAACCCTAAACTAATCCATAAAAATTCAACCCCACATCACACTTTCTAGATTATTACATCACCAAGCACGCCAGAAAGGGTACTTGGAATGTAAATAAACAATCCAAAATCTACCTTTCTGGCAAATACGGGTAGTAATTAACAGTTTAACACAAGAGAGAATGGAGAGTAGGGAGAGTTTTTTTTTTTTTTTGAGTAAAAAGTACCTGAGAAAGGGACAAGCAAGTAGTGGGATAAAAAAGGAAAAATGGTTCCACCTTTCTATTGAGCTTCAAAGATTTTGGAAAAATCAAAAAAGAGGGGTTAAAGTCATTTTTTTCCCTTTGCTTTATAGGATTCTTACTACCCTTTTCAAAGAAGAACTCAAAAAACAGAGGAACAAAAAAAAAAAGGAAAGGGGGAGATGGCGAGAATCAAATCAAAGGGCATAAAAACATGCTCATTATGCAAAGAAGATACCGGACAGTTGGGACCTTTGGATTGAATGCAAAATAATGCAAATGATGAAGAGAAAGAAGGACTACAAGTGGGGGGCCCACAGTAGGTGCACGGTTGGCACTGTTGTGGTGTAGTTATGTGTTCAAGGTAAAGGTAGTTTTTTTTTTTTACTTTTTTTTTTTTTTGTTTGGGTTTTGGTTTTTTGGTCTGACTGACTGAATTATGATGAATGATGAAATGATGACTGATAATGACAATGACAGCAGGTGGGAAAGGATGGGGACTACTGTACTGTACTGACTATGGTAATAAAAGGAAGGAAGGAGGAGGATAGGAGTGGGGAGTGGGTATGGGGGATTTGGTTTCCCCGGGGATTCGGTGCGTGAAACCACGCGCCGTTAATTTGCTATGATAACAGTTAGAACTACCGGACAATACAATTAGGGAGAGCTGAGTTTTAATTATTTGAGAATGCAAAAAAAACCTTCTTTTTTTTTTTGAAGAAAGAGAATGCAAAATTTAAGATGTGGGGAGCTGGGTTGGTGCATGATTTTTACTTTTGATTATATATTTTAAATTAAAAATGAAAATTCATACTGAACAATTATTTGAAAATGAAATGAATATATAAGATGACTGTTTATCTAACTTGTTAAAAGCGATACAAGTAGAATAGATGAAGAAGATTATCGAAATCGACGAACAAAATGAAAAAAGACTTTCATAGAATAGATCGCTTGCTACATGTTATTAATTTAAAAAATATTCTATCCAATTTGGTTATGAATAACTAAAAGCAAAATCACATAGACAGCAGGAAATTAAAAACTCGTGGTGTGGCTATAAATAATACTCCCTCCATCCCATAATTATTGTCCAGTTTGAGTTTTCATTTTTAGTTCAAATTATACTAAAACTGAAATCTCAAATTGGACAATAATTTTGGAACAGAAGGAATACTATAAATAAATGTGCCTCAAAACTGGGTTTTGAGTATGTCTGCGACTCTGCATATTCACTGCATAAAGATCAAGAATAAATTGTTAAGAATGAAGTTTCATAGAGTAAATTAATCTGCTAGATAACCTAGGAGCAAGTTAATGATGAGAGTATTGTTATTTGGAAGCAAAATCAAGCCAAGCAATACTCCTTGTTTTTTTGCATTACATAAGGAATTCATTATAACTTGTAGATAGTTGAAAATCATATCATTTTTTCAAAAGAAAAAAGATATTCCTGGGCTTCATTTTTAGAAAAATCTAGCAAATCATTAAGGGTGTAATGACGAGTTTTAAATTATTACTTTTTCAACAAAATATAGTGAAAAGAAAAAAAAATTACTTTTTCAACAAAGGACTTATTGTCTGCAAGTCTTTATGTCTTTAGTTGGATTTTGGACTGAGTAATTATCTCATGAGGAAACACTACAATCATACAGAATTTTGATGAGTGTGTGTAATTTACGTATGTCGATTGACCTACCTCTGCAGATTGACCAATATAAATGTGTTATTTATTTCTTCATTCATTGCTATTGACTGGGTATAAATATTGGAAAGAATGCTCCAAACCAGATACTTTTGGCTTGAATGGGTTAAACCAAGGTTTTTAAATTCGGGATCCTTCGTCCCACCTAAATGCATTGTGGCCAATGTACAAGTTTTACAATCTTCATGTTCTCGTTGTCATTTTAGTTCAGAGTTGGATGTTCATGTATAGTTCTATAATGCTACCAACACTTGCTTGACTAAAGTTGTAAGGTGCTTTGGTTTCCTTAAACGAGATCGGATTTGATCTCGTGAATGAAAAGAGTAATGTTGAGAGAGTTTTCTTTCCTTCAAAAAGAGACTGACCCGACTCGGTGTGGATTAATTTGAATGCAATGCTCTTAGAACACCGTGCGCAATATAAAAAAAAATTATAATGCTGGTCATACATGTTGGGCATTTTCATTATTGTTTACGCGTTTTTTTTAATCCAAGCTTAATTAATGTCGATCCTTGTAACAATTGTTATACACTTCCAAACTCTACTAATAACAACATTTGGTCCTTTGTAACATTTATTTAGTGCGCGCTTTTTCTGTTAAAAATTTAAAAATGTGTGTTAAAAATATAAAATAATATGCAATAGTGGAGCATATTAATTAAAATTCGATAAAATCTATTAAAAAGTTTTACCAAACAAAGCAAGTCTCATTTATTTTCATTAAAAACAATTTAATACCTTGAGTCATGGGGAAAAAATGCTACGGGTAAAATAAATTTTTGTTGTCTTTCCCACGCGCCTCCCGCATTTACTTTACGCCGAAATGTCAAAAAACCCATCAATCGACAATTATCTCATTCATAATGAGCAGCATCATCGTTGAAGACGACGACTCAAATTGTTTTGTTGACCTTTCAATTTAATGGCAGTAAAACAAAAAACACTGAAAATTTACTCATGGAAATTTTCAACTAACTGGCCAATAAAAGCTTATCCAACTATTTTGTAGTACCACCTTAATCAAGCGATAGTTATGCTCTTTTTTATTTTATATTCCTTCCGTCCCATAATTATTGTCCAGTTTGACTAAGATGAAAGATTTTATTTTTGGTCAAAGTTAACTATATTTTAGCTTAAATGACCGGATATACCCTGCATAATTGTCTCCTCCTTTCTCATATTAGCACCCAAATTCAAAACCAACCCCAATTCATTCTTCTTCTTCATCATCGGATATACCCTGCATATTCAATCAAATTTAATAAAAACTTAAGAATAATAATTGAAGAAAATATAGAGCTTCATTCTTTTCATTTTGACAAAGGATGAACAAGAATATCACCTCCAATGTGGCCATAAAGGCCGATCACAGCCACCGCCGGAGAAAAGATCATCTTCTATTTCTAGGCGCTTGTCAAGGCAAGAATCCACAAGGAGCAACTCCGGGAGTGAAATCTTCTATGGGGATTCCCCTGTTTCTACCCCGTTCAGGTGGGAATCAGTTCCGGGAACACCTAAAGTTGACTTGGGTGAAAGGAGGCCAATGCCGCAGCTTACTCCTCCGTCATCGTATCTTTCTAGTCCGGTTGTTGCTATGACTAAATCTATACCGCTGTGATTGGCCATAAGGCGGTCTCTGGATCTCGTCCCTGTTGATTCTCTTCCCAAGACACTAAGATTTCTTGCCGGCTCGTTCAAAGCCCCGGGGAGTTCCTCCGATTTAAAATGCTCCGGTCTTAGTTATTTTTTCTACTAAAGGGTAAATGTGTAACTTACTCAATAAAAAGTCAAATTGGACAATAATTTTGGGACAAAATTTTTTTGACAAAGTGAACAATAATTATGTGACGGAGGGAGTATTTTTTTTCAACATTCTCTAAACTACCTTAATCTTTTTTTTGAATAGGTAAACTACCTTAATCAAGTGATAATTATTCTCTTTTGATTAATTTTTTTTAGACCTCTTGTATGAATGTTGGATATTGCTTCCAATATTTTGGCTATGTTTGTTTCATATTTTTTCAGTAAATTTTCTTTTTAAGTTTTATTTTTAATTGATAAATGATAATGTTAGCCATTCCTAAATATGCAAGGGAGAAAAAAAAAACAAAAAACCCCACAACCAATTTTGCAGCCAAGCATTAAATGGGGTCAAATGAAGAAATTTTCTGGCAAGTTGTTGCGAATTTACTCATGTTCTTGCTGTGTAGAACTATGAAAGTATTTTATTCATTTTCCTTTGAGACGTGTCTTTTCAATAATAAAATAAAATGAATCATTTACCAAAATATTTCGTTTGTACCACTGGTCGCCTGAAATACAAGGATCAGAAGGAGTGGTCGGGAAATAACATTACCGGAAAATCAATTTCCGTTTTTAAGAACTACAGTGGTAAAAACGGAATTTCATTAGCCGGTTATAATATAATTAAGAGTACTAATTGTTTTGACTGGCTGATTATAACAAAAATGGAAAACCATTTTCCGTTTTAATGAAATTCATTCATTAAAAAAATTCGTATAATAATAATACCGGGAAATAATTTTCATAAATAATAAACGGAATTTGGTTTTCCGTTTTTAGCTTGGAATGTTTGAAAAAAAAACTGAAGCCTAAAACTCACCAACCTGTGCAATACCAATAAACAGAACCAAATCTTCATTCAAACAGAAACAAGCAGCAACTTGTGCAACACCAATAAATAGAACCAAAGCTTCATTCAAATAAAAACAAGCAGCAAAAGTATTCAGTTCAAATCACAACCAGAAAAATTCCAGCAACTAATCCATGTCTAAATCATGGAATTATCCCCAAATCATGTCCAAAACAGTTCAAAACTATGAAATACAACCTAAAAAGAAATTACTCCTCCGGCGATGGCGGCGTGGACCTAGAAGGTGTATACTTTTTAGGTGGCCTGCGTTTCCGATCCTGTTTTCTTTTTGCCAAAGGTAGGCTGGATTGCTGCAAAGTTTGGGATGTCTGAAACTCAGCATCTTGCTCTATAGTTGGGGTCACCTCAATCTCAATACCTTGCTCCGTAGTAGTTTGTTCCTGCTCCATAGTAAACATAGTTTGTTCCCCAGTAAACATAGTTTGTTCCTGGGGAGACGGAGTTTGAAACAAGTTTGCAAAGAACTCATTGGATTCTACTACTTTCTTTCTTCCTCCAATTCCAGCCTTAGGGATATTAGCCCTGCGATGTTTAGCAGCTGTTATGGGTCTTTTAGGTTGAATTTGGAGAACCACTTGGCTTGGATACAAAGTAGGCATCTCTGTCGGGACAATCGACAAGGCATTCTCTGCCAAAGCAGAGATTGAATCAGAAAATTCCTCACATGTCGCATTTGAACAACATTTCTCAGCCTTGTACGTTTCGACCTTCTTGAGAATGTCATTCAAAGTGCCCTTTTAGAATTTTGCAAAGAGAAAAAACTATAAAATAATTAAAAAGAATACAAAATAACAGTAATCTATTGGAAATGGCAGTTGAGAATTACAATAAAGAAGGGTGTGAGAAAAACTTACATATAATTTTGCCCGATCTGATTGTTGAAGAAAACCCTCCACCCTTTGGTCATATTTACTAGGATCCGTACTGAATCTAACGGTTCTGGATTGATACCACAGAAGATAATCATCAGTGGCTAAAGGTAGCCCATTAGATGATGGGCCTTCCTCAATGAGCTCAATCTGTCATCCCAAGAGTCAATGTATTCACGATTCTTATCCACCCAATTAGTCCCATGATATCCAGTCTTACCATAACGATGTATTTTTTCCCATTGAGTCTTGTTGGCAATCAAGGGTGGTTCTGGGATAGTTTGAATTTGTCCAAATTGTCGCAGGACACGATCAGGTTGATGTGGTTCTGTGACATCAAAACAAATCAACCACGTTTTTGATTGCCAACATTTTTTACCCCGTGTACAAGAATCAACAGGCTTAAGGAGGTATTTAGCATAAGGCATCCAAGTGAACTGACAAATTATTTAAAAAAACAGAATAAAAGTGTTGCAATGTCCAGATTTGAAAAATTGGAAAAAAAAACAGTTCTGAAAAAGGGGGAAAAAAATCCAATTATCTTGAAGGATTTGAAAAACAGTCCTGAAAAAATCAACAACTGATCCAGCAGTGAAAAACAAAATGTCCATATTTGAAAAAATGAAAAAAAAAACAGTGCTGAAAAAGGGGAAAAAATCCAATTATCTTGAAGGATTTGAAAAACAGTCCTAAAAAATCAACAACTGATCCAGCAGTGAAAAACAAAATGTCCAGATTTGAAAAAATGAAAAAAAAACAGTGCTGAAAAAGGGGAAAAAAATCCAATTATCTTGAAGGATTTGAAAAACAGTCCTGAAAAAATCAACAACTGATCCAGCAGTGAAAAACAAAATGTCCAGATTTGAAAAAATGAAAAAAAAACAGTGCTGAAAAAGGGGAAAAAAATCCAGGTTTAAAAAAACATGTCCAGATTTGAAAATTTTAAAAAAAAAATAGTCCTGAAAAAATAAAAAATAAATCTAGGTTTAAAAAAAATGTCCAGATTTGAAAATTAAAAAAAAAAACAGTCCTGAAAAAATAAAAAATAAATCCAGAATAATCAAAAAAACATGTCCAGATTTGAAAATTTTTAAAAAAAAACAGTCCTGAAAAAATAAAAAATAAATCCAGGTTTAAAAAATAAAATGTCCAGATTTGAAAATTAAAAAAAAAACAATCCTGAAAAAATAAAAAATAAATCCAGAATAATCAAAAAAACATGTCCAGATTTAAAAATTTTAAAAAAAAACAGTCCTGAAAAAATAAAAAATAAATCCAGGTTTAAAAAACAAAATGTCCAGATTTGAAAATTAAAAAAAAAACAGTCCTGAAAAAATAAAAAATAAATCCAGAATAATCAAAAAAACATGTCCAAATTTGAAAATTTAAAAAAAAAAACAGTCCTGAAAAAGTAAAAAATAAATCCAGGTTTAAAAAATAAAATGTCCAGATTTCAAAACAGTCTAGAAAAAGACCAAAAAAAAAACCAGGTGCCACAAGTCCAGAATAATCCAAGCTCTTACATGATTAGGTGTAGTAAGAGCTGAACATTGATCTCGGTAGGCAGTGATAGTATGAGCCGGAACCCCAGAAAGGCCCAAAGGAACGCACCACCTATGGGAAAAATAACAAACTGTGTAACGTTTCCAAGCAAACTAAAATAAGTGTAACAATAAAAATTAAAAAATATAAGTATATGTACATAACTCACCTTGCACCAAACGCATGGTCCTTGAAAAATTCTTCATCACATTGCCTCTGTGGTCGTATCACAGGGATACGCTCCCACGCCCACAGCTATACATAAAAACAATACAAGCTGTAAATTTCAATATTTGTTTAAAAAAAAAAACAGTGAAGGAGAAGTGAAATGGTGTAAAGATGACCTGCAAAAGAAGTAGGCAACCACCGACATTCCAATTTTTGCTTTGTGCTGCCTTACAAAGACCTTTGTAAAGCATAGCGAGACATGCACTGCCCCAGCTAAGCTTAGCACAATCCTTCAGGTTGCGTAACAATGGCAAATAACACAAGGAAACTGTATCAGTTGAGTCAGGAAAGAGTATACCGCCTAAAGCCCACATTATAAAGACCCGTGCCCTCTTTTCATAAGCAGGTTTTTCAGAATTCTCGGCAATAGGCACAGGTACTTGTTTTTTTAAGGATGATATGTAAATGGTGTTTCCTTTGAAGGTGGGTACAAAATCCAAAAGTTCTTCACACATAGCAGGCCAGGCTGTCTTCTCTACAGGGTTGTGCGTAACAGGGGGGCCATCTTCATTTAGACCTAGTAGAACCTCAACGTCTTGGAGAGTGATGGTTGCTTCACCCATTGGGAAGTGAAACGTATGCGTTTCAGGACGCCATCTTTCGACCAAGGCAGTAATAAGATGGTTGTCTAGTTGCAGATGTCCGTTCGACAACAAAAACCCAAAACCAGCTTCATGAATACATTCTACTACCTGCTTAGGTGCGCCAACAAACTCTCCCCAAATTCGACTATTATTTCTCCGGCACTTATGGTGTCTATCTATAAAATCTTCTACACCGTCGAAAACAGGTGCCGATCTATGGTCACCTTGCAAGTATAGGAGGTCGCCAATGTCCGGTCCCTGGTTAGTGTACACTTGGGTTTGTGTAGAAGAACTAGCCATTTTTCTGCAAAAGGAGTTAAACACGACTATTTCAACAATGACAAAGGAGTAGAAAACAGAAAAAAAGACAAAAGCAGTTAAACACAGAAAGTAATACCATATAAAAGCTAAAGAGAAAACTTGATTTCAGAATACTACACATTAAAGGGTTTTCAAGTAAACTCAAAAAAATTTGCAGTTTCAGTTCAAGTACTTTAATATCTGAAACGTATAATTATTGAGGCAGAACCACATTGAGGCAGAACCAAATTGAGGCAGAACCACATTGAGGTGGAACCACATTCTAAATTTTAAGACAGAGCAAATCACACCAAACAACTGCAAGAAATGCATGTCTCTGCTAACACAAAAACAAAACTTAACTAAATAATCTATTTACTGAGCAAGTTGCAAAACTAAAGGTTCTACAACTTCCATTAAAGTTCCAGTAATAATTCAATTGGAAATGCACAAAACAACTCAGCACATGGGAAACATCAGAGGTAATTGATATCTAAGTAAGAAACCTCAAGCATTCATCATCATCAGCAAGTGCTCGGTCTGAAGGAAGACCAATCATACTAGACATTCCAGCTGGAAAGAAGCAAATGTTCAGTAATTACTGTTTTACATCAGCAAAGAAGATTGGATGCATCATACTAGGAATGGAATGATTATGATCTAGATATGCTACAGAAGTGAAAAAAAAAAGACTTTTTATCAGCACTATTCACCAAGATGATAGCTCGACAAGAGCTTACAAAAAACTGGGACAAACACAATGAACCAAGAAACCCACTTATGCAATTTGGATTACTATTCTGGTGACTAACAGCTTTCCAAATACACCAAGCTAATTTGCATACAGAGAAATATGAAACACCGCAAGGCATAAAGGAGATGAGGATTTTGTCACCAACCTGAAGATAACCAGGGCTTCTCCAGGAGAATTTTGAAGCAGAGGGAGTAGATCTAGGTGGTGGTGGCCAGCGGAGGAAGCAGAGGGAGTAGATCTAGGTGGTGGTGGCCGGCGGAGGAAGCAGAGGGAGTATATCTAGGTGGTGGTGGCCGGCGGAGGAAGCAGAGGGAGTAGATCTAGGTGGGTGGTGGCCGGCAGAGGAAGCAGAGGGAGTAGATCTAGGTGGGTGGTGGTCGGCGAGGAAGCAGAGGGAGTAAGTTTAGGTGGTGGTGGCCGGCGGAGGAAGCAGAGGCAGTAGATTTAGGTGGTGGTGGCCGGCGGGTGGGTGGTTTCGTGGTTACGGGAATTAAGTGGTGGTGGTGGAAGAATAAAGGAAAAGGAGGAGGAAAAAACGGCGGCCAACAGAGCATTTGACCAACAGAGCTGATTTTATGCGGTCAAATCTTTTGCCATTAAAACGGAAATTCGTTTTCCGGTTTACTATTTTTAAATTAAAACACGGAAAATTGAATTCCGGTTTTTGGAAAACGGAAAACAATTTTTGATTAAAACCGGAAAACCAAATTGCGTTTTTTAATTAATTATGTTTAATTCCATTAGGTAATATCCGATGATCTTGTTAACCAGTATTTATAATTCCACAAAAAAACATTATTAATAAACAACAATACAAATAAACTGTTTCGTATACAAAAAAACATTATTAATAAACAACAATACAAATAAACTGTTTAGTATTCAAAAAAACATTATTAATAAATAACAATACAAATAAACTGTTTAGTACACAAAAAAACATTATTAATAAACAACAATACAAATAAACTGTTTAGTACACAAAAAATATAACATTATTCAGACTTCTTCTATGCCTTCAAAACCATCAGCATCCCAATTGACATTTATTCTTGTCCGATCAGCTCTGCGGTGCGAAAGAGGACATTCCCTTGTTTTATGGTCAGCAGCGC